CTGTATTGTTTCCCTTTCTTTAAACCTACAAGCGCCTGTTAGCGCTGGATCCGTTCTTAGTGTTCAGGCCTGGTTAAATAAAGGTGAAATTAAATGAAATGGTTCATGATGCATCAAATGTTGAGAAGTCTGGACTGCGACCATTTCAGCACCAAGACTCCTCTGCTATGAAGACATGCTGGACGGCCTTGTTTGCACCAAGTAAACAAACAAACTGGACTTCTATGGTCTAAGTGGGAGTGATGTTCACCTACGTGTAATTTGAGCTTGCAGAATGGAGCGCCTCGTACGGTTTAAAGCTTGGAACTCCACACTCACCAGTTTTGAACCTCCCGTGATCGGAGGCAAAACGCCTTCAATCACAGAATAGAGAAGTCCAGCTGTTGCGTTTTATTTTATTTTATTTATTTATTTGGATCTGCCATGTCCTGGAGACGTTACACCAGCACAATGAGGCTTAGGCTTGTCTTGCTAAAACATGCCTTTCCAGATGTGTAAGCTGCCAGAGGAACACAAATGCAGTTGTTTCCAGTCAGGTGAACCCCCTATCCATGTTTACTTCTCAGAGGTTTCGACTGTTTAAAATTGTATTTTTTTATATCCGTTCTTCTAACTGACCTCTTGACAATTACCCTAGTTAGTTGTAAAATGCTCCTCCAACCACTTTTACAGCTATTTGTTGTCCCTATCCCAACTTTTTTTTGTTTTGCCACTATAAATTCAAAATTTTCTTGTTTTCTCCCCAAAAAATAGAACATTTTGTTAATTTGAACTGGTGGTTCTCAACACTAGCCCTTGAGGAACACCATCCTGCATGTTTTAGTTGTTTCCTGCTTTGACACACCTGATTGCAGAACCCAAGGTCATCATTAAAACATTTCATCAGGTGTGTTGGACCAGGGGAACAATTCAAACATGCAGGATGGAGTTCCTCAGGGACCAGGGTTGGGAACCACTGGATTTGATGTGTTTACTATGCTTCACTGTGGATAAAATATAGGTTTATGAGACTTGCAAATCTTTGAATTCTGTTTTTAATTTACATTTTTCACAACATTTTCAGAGTTGGGGCTGCACTTGTTGCACCTTTCGGTTGGTCAAACATTCTCATTGAAAAACATATTTTCCGTTCGCTCTGTCTCCATTAAACAGCTGCATCGTATTGATGGGAGAGGAGCTTTTATGAGCTGCCGAGGAAGGAGAAAATAAAAGCAGGCGTGCACCGCTGTGACCTCTGCGGACAGCTCAGCCGTGCCGTGCCTCGCTGCACCAGGCAGACAGACTGTCACCTCCACCCTTAGTGGCCCTCGGCTCACTCCAGCCTCGTCTTTTTTTTTTTTTTACACCTCCCTTTAACATCTATTTCTCTCACCCCTCCCTCCCTTCCTTCATCTAAAGGGACTCTTTCAGTCTGTGAAGTCCCTCTGCTCACAGTCACTTAATTAAACACTCCCACAACACCATTCAAAAAGCGACGAGGGCTGTTGAATTAAGATGCCGTCACAGCAGGAGCACCATCCGCTCGGAGAACGGCGAGAGATGCGAAGACGTTGAGGCCGACAAAGAGAAAGACTTCATCTGTGCACGAGGAGTCTTCACTTTTTAATCCAAACGCAGCCTCGTTGCAGCTAAACTTTCATATTTTATGACATCAGAATGCTAAAAACATATTTGAGGAACTCCAAATGGCAGATTATGTTCAGCCATGGTTTAGAAGTCCATTAGATAATAGTATTAACCTCCACACAGACCACACTCAGCCCACACGTCCCCCTGGTGAGGAACAGATGAGAGCGAGAGGAACGGATCCAAGTGGAAAACTAACGCCTGCTCTCTGCTGCTGGCTCGCCTGCTCGTCTGTAGGAGGACGCAGAGGATTTAATGCGTGTTGTGCTAGCATCCACCGCGCACCTTGTTTTGACATTTTGTGGACAGCTGCTTTCAGAAAACAAAACCTGGAATGTGAAGGTGGGAGGTGGCGAATGAGTTTTTTTTTCTTTTGCATGAATTCCATCCACTGCCTCTTCATGAAGAGCCTGAGAGAGTAAAAAAAAAAAAAAGAAGCAGCTCCTTCCATCTCTCTGCCACCTTCCTCTACCTGCTGTCCCTCGTCGATCTCCGGCAAAACTTGGCGGCAGATGTTGCTGTGCGAAGTTGGCTCTGAAGTGCCTCCCCGGCTCCCTGGTCTCACCCACAACACAGTCAAACCACATTAGATCTCTTTATCTGTGCCTGGGGCGAGTTCGGCACTGCAGCTGTGTCCACCCCCTCTCTACCTTTGATGCTGAAGGCCCTCGGGCGCTAAATGTGAGACCATGGAAAAAAAAAAGTTTCACTCTCATTTTCCGTCTCTCTTCTGCATCTGCTGACAATCCAGTGGTTTGACTCCGGGCGGCAGCAGAGGAAGGGGGGGGGGGGAGCTGGGTGGTGAGTGAGGGGGTGGACATCGGAGTCCCTGTGCTGAACAGATGTCTGCGACAACCTGCTTCCTTACACCTGTACGAGTCCTTGTAACCTCACAGATCCAGGCTGCTGAAAGATTCATGACCCTGGAGGTTTCCTGTCGGCCATCAAAGACCGCCATCTAGACCCCCCCCGCCCCCATCTCTGCCTTCATGCTCCCCCCCCCCACCCACCCCACAGCACCGCTGCACTCTGCCGTCTCCACCTCACCTGCCAGTGAAGTTGCTGACTTTGTCTTCAGACAGAATCTCACCTGACGGGCGGCTTCTTACAGACCTGCAACTGTTGGAGGCTCGTTGGTGACCAGCGGCGCGTCGATGTCCCCCGTCACCGAGGGATTTAAATAATGAAGGTTTGTAGGTTTTGAGACGTTTCTCCAACTCTTTCTGGACTGGAACTGAACAGGGAACGCAACTTAATGCTTTTGGTGCAGGATAATCAGGTGGGCAGGAGTTACACTGCGGAGAACAGAAGTAGTTGTTTTTCTGTCTGAGATGGATCCTGGTGAACGGACGGAGCAGTTTTACTCACAGTCAGGTGCATGGACAGAGCCAGGGGGTGGCCAGTGGTGGCCATAGATTAATCTTCAGCCACCCCAATCACTTGAGGAATCCATACTTTTAAACAATATAAAACTAGAAAGCAGTTTCTTCAAATGACAGGAGTGGTCAGTTGGCATATATTTGGCTTGTATGTTTGGTATACAATTTGTAATAAGCTGTGTTTGATTTGGCGGTGGCCATCTTGGATTTTGACATGACAACCCAATTTTCAACGGTGACCTTTCTTATGTCTAGATGCAGACACACAACAAAATGGAAGTCGGCACATGTATTATTTTCCAAGTTATCATACTCACAAGATTAACGTCTTTACATATATGGTGGCAGCCATCTTCGATGTGGCAACCCTAATTTCGAATGGAACCGTTCTTACACCAAGATGCAGCCACATACGTTTAAAATTATCACGCTCATCAGACAGACAGAAGGTTTTCCAACCCCCCTCCCACACACACACACACACACTTCACAATGGGGGTGGGGGACATTATGACGGGTTTTTTTATCTTACAAAAACAATTATCTTCAACATTTTTAAATTTAATTAAATTGTACAAATGCTTTAAACAAATAAAAATTTTGGTAAATTAATTTACAGAGTAAATTCCCACACTCCTGTTGACCAGTATCTGAAGATTTAAAACATCCAAAGTGGTTCTGGGATTAGCTGAACAGCGCTGCAGTGACAACCTGTAGACCAACAGCTGCCAGGTTTTCTGCAACTGTTTCCTTCTTTTTCTACAGCTGGAAACTTTAATCCACACATGAGTAATTTATAGCCTAACGTCATCCTACAAATAAAAATCATCTGGTTCCTGTTCTCTGACCTCGGACATGAGCGAAAACACCCACTCTGGTGATGCAGATATATTTTTTAATTGATTGCACAACGTGTTGGGAATAATTTGTTTTGTCTATTGAGACCATCTCATGTTTCTCCTGCTTTCGAGCAGATGAAGAGAAGTAGGGAGCATAAATAAAAAAATAAATGTGTAGGAAAATGTGGGAGTTTTTTTTTTCTAGTAGCATGCAACCCAACTGTAATTCATACAACTCATTGAGAGATTAGCTTACAGCTTTGTGTCCACAGAGGCTGCTGTGGATTTTTAAAGTGGGAGCTGTATTAGAGCAATAAATACATCTCAAAACATCTGCTTCATTCTGACTTAACGGCAGTTTGGAGCAACACGCTCTCCTAGCCGCCTGTTTGGCTTCAGAGTGTTGCTTTGCTTCCTCGTCTCTTGCAGAGGATGAGCAAAGTCGCCCGTTTGACCTTATTAGGTCGTCCCTGCCGTGTTTCCTTCTGTGAATCTCTGCAGCTGCAGCTCATGTCACCCTGTTTAGGTATGAACACACTGCACAACATGTGCCAGAAGCTTCCTCTGCTGACAGGAAACACAACTGTAAGACAATGCAGCAATAAATTAAGATCTAAACTTGAACCGTGATGACGCGGAGGATTGAAGAGAGGGTGACGACCACACCGAGGCCGAACATTTCTACCGAAGTACCAAAGAATAATCAGCTGAACGGACGAGTAGGGAGGGGACAAAACATTATTGGGACAAAATATTGTTGTGCTTCATCAAGCGATGAACCTTGGATGCTAACGCCATATATTAACGTTTTAAATGATAAATAAGGCACTAAATAAGCAAGGGAAGTTATCTGTAACTGTAGATTAAAGGCAACCAATGAAACGAGGTGGTTTTGATGATCGATACATCAGTTTATGATTGATCAGGAGTTTCTGTAGAAATGATACATCATGATGCTACCATGAGTCATTTATCCCATATCCTATCAAAGTGAGGTTGTCTGTGATTTGCATTTTTTAATGAGATTGAAATCTCCCCGAGATGAGGGGTTGTCACAAATGAAAAGTTGGTGGTTCGATCCCAGCTTCCCCCACCGCACCACTTCCACCCGCTGTGTATCGGTGTGTAAAAAGTTTTTTTCTTCCCACTGACTTACCTGGTCTGCAGAGGTGGGACGCATGATGGAGACCCGATCGTACTGCCGCCTCAGTAAAGCCCACACAGCATCAAGACGACCCTGATCAAACACAAGAAGTTACGTTTGGGAAAACTGTACTACGAGTTGTAACATTTTTATTCATCTTTTTCTTTTTAAACCCTCATTCAACCAAGAAACACACTATCGTTTACAGTTTTTCATTTTCTGTATTTTTTTTTTTTTTTGTGGTTAAAACCTTCTACATCTACTTTTGGAAACAGTTCTATGTTTAGCTAGCCTTTTGCTACTTTTATTAGCCTTTTGCTACTAGCTTCTAGCTAGCTTTTTGCAAACATTAACTACCATTTTGCTAATTTTAGCTTTAAGCTGGACTTCTGCTACTATTTTGCTTGTTGTGTTTCCTCTAGGTTACTCTATTGCTACTTTTAACACTCAACTAACCTTTTGTGCTTTTAAGTTCTGTCTGCTGTTTTACTAATTTTAGCTAAACTTTTCATTGTTTTACTTTTATTTAGCCTTTTGCTACTTTTAGTGTTTAGCTAATGTTTTGTTACTTTTAGCTCGTCATTCAGAACCCAGAATTCATATCAGATTTTTACAGGAGGGAATTTTTCTAGTTTCTTCTTATATTTATTTGATAGTTGACACATTTCATTTAGAAGACGGTACTTTATTTTATTTATTAAAGAAAATGTAAAAACACATAAAAGATTGAATAATAAGCCCATCAGTTTTTATGCTGCTTTAGGTTTTTCTTTACGTTTCTTAAATTAGGATGCTAGGATACTTTAGGATAGTAGTTGTTTTAAGTTTTCTTTTAAGTAAACCCGATGACGTGGTCACTAAAACCAAGCAGAAGCTGCAGAGCTCACCTTGATGGGAGTGTACCATTTGTTCTCAGCCTGACGGTTGGGAGGGGCAGATTTTGGAACTGGACGTTTGCTCATCGGCTCCTCCACGTCCTCAGGTATGGACACTTTTGCATTTTTGGCCATCTCCAGCCGGGCCCCCTCCTCAGTCGAACCCTTTTCTCCCCAGCGCACCTAAACAGGTTGAAAACGCACAGAAGGTCCAATAAAATGTGACTTCAATAATAAATGTATTTACTGCATTTCAGCAGAAAACCTCCTTGAGCCGACTTTGGGTTGCAAAAAAATAAAATGGCCTAATTCACAGCCTACAAGCTCACAGTGTTGCATTATGGTCCTAAAGCTTTACATTTTTCACATTTACTTAGTCTGAAGGCACCGTTTCATTACAAGTTCTGGTTAAAGTGCACAAAGAACTACAATGAACAAACCTTATGAGCCAAATAAATAAATGATGGGAATAACTCTTTACACTCTTTATGTTGGCTACACAGGATGAAGAGGGAGATGGGGGGTCTCTTCCTCAGTAATGAGGGTGTTGCTTTGATCTATGGTGGTGAAATACGAGTCGATTCAAAAGGCAAAGAGCTGAATTCACTGGTCTGTCTTTGTTCCAACCATCACCTGTGATCATGACCAAAAGAATGAGAATCCAGCTCAAGCAACTGAAATGAGCTCCCTCTGAAGGGTGGCCAGGCTCAGCGTGAGAAACAGGGTGAGGAGCTCTATGATCCAGGGAGAGCTTCGAGTAAAGATGCTTCTCCTCTGCTGTCAAAGGAGTCAGCTGTGGTCCATGCATCTGATTAGGATGCCTCCTAGATGCCGCCCTTTGGAGGTTTCTTGGGTACATCATATGTACCCAGGTTATGTAGGTACATACAGGTTTACGTACATACGTACAGGTTTTCCTCCTGGACCTGTTGCCTTCAAGACCAGACCATGCATAAGCAGAAGGTGGGATGGATTGAGGAATGGATGAATGGACATACTGTAGATTCAACCGATTGTTTTTAATAAAACTGACCAAGTTTTGTCCAATGGTGCCATGACGTTCAAAAAGTGAGAAGCCAATAAAACTTCCCAGCATGAATAACTGCATCACTGGGCGTAAAAGATTCAAAATCCTGGTTAGTAGATGCAGAAGACAACTCTAAACTGAGTTCAATACAGCTGGAACGCCATTAAAGTACAATTAATTACATAACTGGCATTCATCACGTGTGAAGGCCTGAACGCAACTTAAAGCACCAACAGCACAACCAGGAAATATTTGCTATAAGATAAATTTACGTCTAGAAAATGTTTCCTTCATCTTGAATTGTGTGCACATGTGCATGCGGTGTCAGGAGTGTGTGTGTGTGTGAAGGCAAGTTTGTGTGTTAGTTAAGCTGTCCTGCTTTTTAATTGAAATCATCACATCTGTTGCAAGGAGGAGAAAAAAACTCTTCAGCCACATGAATAGGGAGAGGTGATTAATTAGCGACACATTTTTTAAGCTGTAGGTTAAGCCGTGACAATATAGAACAGCTTTTCAGAATCATCTCTGGGATACTTTGCGGGCATGCTGCTTCATCAAGAACAGAGAGCCCTGTGATGAATAAAAGATACGTCGTCACCTCAGCGAGCTCAATAATTGTTTGAAACATTGTCGGCGACAACAGAGAGGTGGAGGTTTTCCACGATGTATAGACGGGCCTGTCAGTGTCCTTTTAATCTTTTTTTTTTTGTTGTTATTTTTAAAAAATATTTTCACAAACAAGGCACTAGTTCTAAAAACGTTTTCATTCACAAAAACATGATCCAAAGTGCTGTGGTGACGATGCCACTCCTGTAAGTGATGATGTAACGCTGCTTAAAAACAAAAACAGGAAACAAGACGTGGAGCAAATGCATAAAGCACATGTCAGGTGGACGTTTTTTAGTCTGTACGTAATATAGCTTAGCGCTACGTCAGTGCCGGCAGTCGTTGACGACGGGTGGGGGTTGACAGTTTGGTCAGGTAGGCAAGGCGCTCAGTTATGTTGACAGGGCGGGGCACCCTCCTGTGGTAGGGGTAACACTGATATACTGTAGTACAGAGTTTATGGTTGAAGCCTGTGGTTAATTTGTAAACCAAATGATGCCAGACACAACATGTGTGTGTGTGATTGATGGGGGGGGGGGGGTCTGAGGGTCCTCCTCCAGAAAATTTTGAATAAAGTAGATGCCATTTCCTGCATTCTGGCATATTTTCACAAGTTGTTAAACATATATGTTTACCTACTGATACATTTGTAAACACTTGATTCAATAACTATTATAGAGAGCAACAAGAAGTAGCCTGACCAACAGCTCTCCTTGTGTGAATAGAGCGTCAATTCTCGGCCGTTTAGTTGTACAATGAGACTTTTTTTAATGAAAGTAAATTGGACTATCTTTTTGACATATTGAACACTGTTATTTTGACAAATTGGTGCTGTTGTTTTGATACATGACGTATGTCATGTGATCACCCATCAAACGTTTCTCTCGTGTTTTTAATAAATAATCAAAATTTTATTAATGACCCACTTAAACTGTAAAACCGATCTGCAAATTAGTTTTGCTGTTTAATTATTTTTTTGTATTTTTAATTAAATTGCCCATGACTGTACTTTTAGGGGGAAAGATTTTTATTAAGAGCAGAAGCGGAAAAGCTTACGTGAAGGGGCAGCTCTAACACGGTTTTTGGAAGCTCGTAAGTGGCTGTTATGTTTAAAATGAGTGTCTATGTAATTATTTTCAGATTACTTGTCCAATGTAGGTTTTATTTGTTCAAGGCAGTCAAATTTGTTCAAAAATTAGTAAGCCTGAGAGACACTGGATCCAAGCAAACAGTTACCAGAACCCACCCTGTCAAAATAAGAGAGTTCCCAGATCCTGTTCAGACAGGATGTAGCTTAAAATAAGCCCTGGTTGAAACTGTAAACAGGACAAGAATAAAAAGACGAGGACAGCAAATACAAATGCAAGTACTGAATTATTTTTGTGGACTGCCAACAATATACTTATACTTTGTCCTACATTAAACTACAGGACCACAAAGGGCTGGAGTATTGACTGTTGGTCTAAATAAATCTATACGATGGACTCGTTTCAGGCTGTTTCAGCAAAGGATGAGTGAAAAGAAAGGTTTACCCCATGATGCTTAAAGCAAATTGGAATAAATTCTTCACACACACACAAGTGTCTGCCTTTTAAAACTATTTTTCACTTCTTGTGTTTTACGAATGTATCCTGTTGACTTTCTTCTCAAGTATTTGTTTCCGTATTGTTGACAGTTAAAAAAAATTGGGAAAAATTACTTTTGGATACTTGCTTTGCTTTATTTAAGGCACCGTTATTGATCATTGGCTTTGTTGGTTTGTTGAAGTAATACAGGATACAAAGGTTTTGCTTGAGAAACTGGACTCTGTGGTGCAAACGCAGGAATGTCATATGTTTTTATGTCAGCCGCGCTTTAAATTGCAGGTGAGGCAGGAGGTGAAATCATGACAGTTTTCAAAAAGTTGTGTTCACTCTGTCCTCACAAAAAAGCAACCGTGGTGTTTTAAGATTTTCTCACGTTCACAAGAGAAGACGGAGAGGTGAAAATCGGGCCTGTGTTTCAGCAGCATTCGTCTAGATTTAGTAGACCCTAAAGGATGCTGGGAAAACTCAGGTATGACACCACCTTCCTCAGGGCTGAGATGGGTGTGAGGAAGAGCTGGGAAACAAGAGAAGAAAACCAAGAGTTAAAGAAGGGGGGGTGGAGAGGGGATCCGAGCGAGGTGGATGTGTCAAGCTGACAGCAGCACTCAATCTTTCACCAAGTAATGACTTGATCCAATCAGGACAAGATGGCAGGACCTGTCATGTTGGAAGCATCAGTGGAGTGACGAGGACAGCGTTTGGACCAGTCAGTCAGGCGGCCGCTCTGCCTGCAGCCTGCCTAACTCAACAAACTTCTAAGCTCACAGGAAAAACTGAGCGTCAGCAGGTTTCAGGATACACGTCACCTCCTGCTGTTTAGGATCTTTGCACAACTTCAGCTGTTCTAGCAGCACGGTGGTTAAGTTCTGACCTCCATGCGTTTGATCCCTCCGGCTCCTCTTCCTCCATAATACGAGGCATCCACAGTCGGCCATTTGTTCTTTGGCAGCGGTTCAGGTTCCTGGAAAAGATGAGAAATATGCCAAACGTTTGCATAAATGAAAAATAGTTACAAAAATAAGGAAGCGCAAGATTGTTGCTGCGTTTTAATCAGGAAGGAAGAGATTTAAGCCATTATCTCTGCCTCAGACATGGATTTGAGCGACTTCATTTCAAGTCATTTCAAAAAGTTCATGAAAGTCCACCCTTTATTAATTCTAGGGTTTTAATACCAGGTCAGTTTTAATACCAGTGGTTTTCTGTCTCAGTCTCTCAGATGTTGTGGAGGAGTTTCGACCCACTTTTCCTTCCAGCGTTGCTTCGGTTCATCAAAGTTTGGCTGACATCGTTTTCTGCAAAGCTCTCTTAAGGTCCACCAAAGCATTTCAGTCAGGCTAAAGTGTGAACTATGACTGGACCGTTTGTTTTTTATTTATTTATTAATTTATTAATCATTGTGTTGTAGATTATTTGCTGTAATTATAGATATCTACAAGAGATCATGGTCATCTTAATGACTGCAAGGTGCCCAAACCATCAGCCCTCCACCACCGTGCTTCACAGTTGAAATGAGGCGTTTTTGCTGATATGTGTCATTTTCTTCAAACATGCTGCAGTGCATTATGGGTAAATGTCTATATGTTGATCTCATCTGTCCAAAGGACATTGTTTCAGAAGTCTTGGTGGTCGTTCAGACGCAGATTTGCAAATCCAAGTTGTGCTGCAACACTTCCAAATAACCAGTTCTTGTTCAGTCTTTAAAACAAATTTTACCTTTTTAAAGTTCACTTTAAAACAGGGCTGAAGGGGCCCAATTATAATAAAAGCACAATACTTGTTTTATGATTTTGTGTCTTCTGTGTACAATAAATAGTTCATTGTTCTCTGTATTTTGCTGCATACTCACAGGTGGAGGGGGACGAGAAGGTGGAGGAGGTGGCGGAGGGTCTTTGATGACCTGAATAAACAAATAAAAAAATAAAAGGAGCGTCAGCACATTCCACCAGGAGACATATACAGACACACAGACCTCATCGAGACACGGACACGGCTGACAGGGTTGATTCGTGACGGGTGACGCAGCCGAACAGAGACGTCCCTGAGCTCGTCTCTCGATGGCAACACGGCCAGGCTGCGTTTTCTCACTGCAACTGGTGTCCCATCGCCCCGCTGACTACTGATTACAAGGATCCTGCTTGTAAACCAACATCAGGGGCCCCCCGTGCAAAATAAAGAAAAGCTAAAAACCAACTTGTTGACAGGGGAGTCTTTGGGGTGAGCGGCGTTGCCCGTTTAGCTCTTAATTAATTGGACGAGGTTCAGTGCTCCAAAGCAATCCCCCCCAATCATAAAGTCCTGAGGAGTTAATTAGCTCCGATGAGATACGGAGGAGGCTTGGGCTCAGCTCCAAGTCCTGTCTGGAGGGATGAGTGGCAGCAAGCACGCAGAAAACATTAAAAACCCACACACGGCACACCTCTGTCACAGCAGAGTGACCAGCCCAGCGGCAGTGCTCTGGATGACATGACACCTGAGGAGCAGGTTGTCAACAATGTGAGTCCACTCAAAGACAGATGTCTCCACTGGACTTGTCCAGATGTGCACAGCAAAGCAAAGAGAAGTTCGACGGCGGCATTTGTCAGGTGTCAGTCAGAAGCTCCACATCCTCGTGTCCAGCTTTGCACACCAGGACTGAGGACAACGCCGCCACTCGGTCAACAGCAACACACCTGGGACAAGACAGAAGCTTGAAGACATGAAGACATGAGCTTCTTCTAACAGGTTTCAGCTTGTAGGACTAGGCACGCTCCTGAGTGTGCTGAAGACGAAGCGTAAGCTCAGAGGAGACCGTGTTTATGCTGTGGCAGCTCCTAAAGAACGACCTTCCCATGAACATCAGACAGGCCTGTTCCCTGTCTGTTTTCAAATCCCTTCTTAAAACTCCTCCCTGGCCTTTGACACCATCTGAAATGTTGACTTTTAATTATTTTAATCGTTCTTTATTGTCTGGTTATATGATAATGTTTTATTATGTGTACAGCACTTTGGTTCTGCGGGTGTTTAGCCCCAAGCTGGACTTAGAAGCTCCTCAGGACAGATCTCCAATCTCTGTGTGGTGGACAACGTTCCCTGCACCTGCATCACCGTGTGGCACAGCAGCTGCACTGCTCCTGACAGGATGGCTCTGCAGAGGGTGGTTAAGACTGCACAGATAACAGAGGGGAGCAGCCTTCCCACCACCACGGACCTCTACACGTCACGATGCAGGGGGCGGGCGCTCCGCATCATGAAGGACTCTACTCATCCTGCGCACAGTCGGTTCCAGCCTCTCCCCTCAAGCTGGGATGGTATGGCATGGGCTGTTTACTTATTTCAAGGTAAACCATGGTGTTAAAGACAAAGTCTCTCCACCTCACTGGTCACATGGTCTCCTACTTGCCTCCTTCAGTTGTGTGCAGCAGAGGTGGGATCACTCCAACGTTAAATTAATGTAGAACCATGTGTAGTTAGAGTCGTTTCGTCTGGACAGAGAGGAGCACAGAGCCTGCGCACCTGATAAACTCCAAGGCTTCGTCTATGTGTGAGAAGCATTGTAAAAAGACTCTTCTTTAAACTGTCCGTGGGCAGACCTTATGACTGGAGCTCCATGTAACATCTGTGTAAGCCTGTGTGTTAACTCTGCCCCCCCTTTGCAAGGAGTAAACTGGGTTGAAAAATCTTGTGTCCTCATAGTGGCTTATTTGATTAAGGATTTGATGACAGGATAATTAATTAATCCAACATTAAACTTCTATAAACATAAAAAATTAAAAAAATATATGGTACTCCGGTGTCTCAGTCGCAGAGAGATTTGATTAGAGAAAGTTTTTAGTTTTCAAGATGTTTTCTGGACTTGAATTCAACAGGAAGTGCAAGTAAACCTTACTGTTTTTGGTGCACGATGTTTAAGCGAGTAGGTGCTACATTGTGTAGAAGAACAGGTTTTCTTTACTTTGCTTATCCGAGGCAGCGTAGAGTGATAGATCCTGACGAGTAAGGAGCAACTTTATCCACCACCAGGTGCAATGGTGGAGCCAGAGGGTGGCCAATGGTGGCCTTGGGCACCATAGATTTATCTTTAGCCACCCCACCTCTTTAGCTCAATTTGTGATCATGTTCACAACATGCACGGGTGGACGTAGAGTATTTCCAATTGCCCCTCTTTGCTCTGTGACAAGGGACAAAAAGACAACGTGGGTCAGTCGTCCATTTTATCTGGTGGATAACGCAGTCAGTCATGACTCGACTACCTGCCTCTGTTTTTAAAGTAACAGTTTTTTGGAAGTTTGCATGCTAGCAGCCAAAATATATATAGCCTACTACTGCAGGCTTGCTATGTAGGCTAAAACTTGCTAATTAATTATCATTAAATCAGGCTCCTTTGTTACTTTACATAGAGCAGAACAGCAGGAAGTACTGACACAATTACTTAAGAATTAACCTAAATAAAAACAGCTAGTTGATGCTGGTATTTTAGCTTTAAGCTACTGTACTGTTTAGCTGCTGTGTAACTGCGTTCTGTTCTGCTTTATTAAGTTTTAACAATTCAGTGTGAGCATCTAAAACGCATCATCAGTCACTCAGCGCTCAGCATGCTCTGCATTCACACAGAAAATTCAGTTTCTCTAGTTTGCATAAGGCTTCTAAGTAGAAGTTGGCAATAAATAATAATAAGTTTTATACTGTTCAGTTTTGCACCCACACACTCCTAACTCTCTGAGATAAGACGATCTTTAACGGCCACCTTCAAACACACCGATGGACTCTAGCAGCAAACACAAGTAGGTGGCAGATAAACACCGAGGGCACGGCTCAACTTGATGCGTGGTGAAGGAAAAGGACTCGAACGCTGATTTATCCATCTTCAAAGTCAGACAGAAGTCAGAGCTGGCTGTGCACATGCTAACGTGGTTCAGGATGGGAAAAAAGAGCAATGTATTTATGGCCTATCATAGATCCAAACAGCTGTTTCAGGCCCAGTTAAGCTCGGGGATACCGTCAGATTCACATCACTGTTATTAGAATAATGAAAAACAATCAATTAGGGTTAATTAATTTCTCTTTGACACACAACTGGCTGTACGCAAATCCTGCAAAAGGTCTGCAGACGACCTCTCCATACGCTGATTAACAGCATTTCAGCCACACCTTACGTTGAGGGGATTATCTCTTTTTATTAAGTAATTAAGCAGCAGATTCCCTGCACATGTTGTGGGCTAACTAAAGCATTACACAAATGATGAAGCTCTGCTACTCTTTCCCAGCAACCTGATGGACAGATGTGAGCTCTCTGCAATGTGGCGGCATAATTAAAAACTAAACCGCGGGATACTTAGCCATCTGACACCAACCCACCACAGCCTCGACACCGGCAAGAATCGGACCAATCAGAAGCACTCGGGGCACCGTCCACATATGGCTGTCCTTGTGACTGCCCAACTGGGCTGGAAAATCTGCTCCATAAGAGCTCAAACGATGCATCAAGCTGTTTAGGGAGGTTTATTATGACGGATCAGTGGCAGGTAACATATTTGGAAGTTTTAAAATGATTTAAGCTAACCTGGATTTCACTAGAAACAAGCGGTACGCCAATATTCCCGTCGCTGAGGGGTTTGAACAGTGAATGTTTGTGGTTTTCAAGATGAGTGTTTTTCTAGACTGGAATTAAACAGAATGCGAAGAAACCTTCAACTGAACTGCTCAGGGGGCCACAGTTACTGAAAGCAGCTCAGGGGTTAGACATCCAGCAGTTATTGTCATGAAGTACGTTTGTTTTACAGTTTAAAATCTAGTTTAATTTAAAAATTAACCCACTGGTGGGTCGAACTGAGCTCAGCTGTGGGTCTGATTTGGCCCCTGGGCCACCAGTTGAAAGCCCTGCTTAATGTTTCTGGTGCCCGATATTCAAATGGGGAGGAGTTACACTGTGTATAGGAATGAAGGAAGTTTGTTTGTTTTGTCTGTAGCCCAGAGTGATGGATCCTGGTGAGTGGAAAGAGACATTTTATCCACCACCAGCTGCAGTGGTGGAGCCAGGGGGTGGCCAATGGTGACCTTGACAACCATAGTTATCCACTGGCCACCCCAATCATTTGACAAACTATACTTTTAAGCAATATAAAAACTAGAAAGCATGGTTTGCTCGAATGATAGAGGTGGTCTGTGTTACATGTATAAATATGACGGTGGTCATCTTGGATTTTGATGCGGCCGCCCAGTTTTCGATAGTGACCTGTCTTTTGTCTAGATGTAGCCACACCCCAAAATGGGAGTCAGTACCTCAGTTGTTCTGTTGCTCACAAATGCACAAATGGAAGGTATTTCCCTCAGGGGAGACAAAAAGTCATGTTTTTATTGATGCACAAACAAAACTGACATCCTATTATAAACATAATCAGATGCTAAATAGTTAATAGCACAAAATGAGTTAAAAATGTTTCCAAAGGTATTTCAGACTGTGCAGTAAGTAAATCATGAACATTCACACTGTTGCTTTCCTATTTATAGGGTGGTCTGTACATTTTTGGACTCTAGTTCTGAAAACTTTGTACAATTTTAACCAAACATCTACCAAAAAGTTCTGGCTCAATTATTAACATGGTGCCATGACTTTAGGTGTTCGTTATATTTTCTAAATAATTTACCTTTACTTATGAAGATTTTATCCCAAGAAACATATTGACATTTCTTTCATTTTTTCAAAAACATTAAAAAAATATATAAATAAAAATTCTGACTTCTAATGCTGCTATTAGCTTTTAGCTACTGTCTTGTCAAGTTTAGCTTTTGGCTAGTTTTATTTATTTATTTATTAACATTACAGTTTTATTAATTTCATCTTTAAATACTATTTTCTTAATTGTAACTTTAAGCTCATTCTGGATTTTAACTAAGATTTTTGTTAATTTTAGCTAGTTTATTTTAGCTTCTGTTCTTCTCGTTTTAACCAACAGTTCCATTAATAATTCATTCTTCAACAAATATTAGTGAAGTCATTCAGCTCTTAGCCAATTTTTTGATTTAAACTAAATGTACGCAGTTCCGAGCTTCATTTCCAAACAAATCATAAACAAAGAAGTCACTGCTCCGCAGCCGAAATGACCTCTCGGCTGGCGTCGGTCCATGTGGGTAGAGACAGAGGAAGACGGGGATTGTGGGAGAGAGGTTGGGCACGTCTGTTTGTGTGTGCGTGGCCTCATCCCGACTGCTGAAACCTGGCAGACTGAGGGTTTAAATATTAACAAGCCACACATGGCCCTCCTCTTCTGCCTCGTCCCTCGATGGAAGGCAACAGCAGCTCCCTCCATCAAGACAAACACGTCTGCGGCCAGACATGCTGCAGGGGGTTTACATTTTAATGCCTTTGTTGGTTTTCCAAAATATGCTTCCATCTCATCCTGGATGGGATCCCTTCAGGTCCACAAAGCCAGGTGACGTCTATCATTTCAGGGGTGAGTGAGGTGAGGTGGTGGTGGTGGGGGGGAGTGGGGGGGGGGTGTATTTGCCTTCATCAGATCTCAACAGAAAAGGGCTCAGAGAAAGAGGTGGCACATGCCATCTGTACCCCCTCTTCCACAGCCGCAAACAATAATCTGTTGTGGATTTCTGTAATTGGTTAAAAGAAAGAGAAAAGTGGTAATCTATGGTTTTTTTTTATTCCTCCTTATTTAGAGAAACAAATTAGATTTTTTTTAATAACTAGCATTATAATCAGATTCCTAATCAAGTAATTTATTATAAAAAAAAAACAATACATTTAGTATTTCTTACATTGCCAAAATGTTTCTTTGTGCAACCTCAATTCTTAAAAAAAGTAGAAACATTGTTTGAAAATAAATAAAAAGAAAAACAGAATTCAATACAGTAGTCCCTCGCTACTTCACGGTTCATTAATCGCAGACTCGCTCTATCGCAGTTTATCAAAATAAGATTGGACCCGACACACAACTGGCTGATTGATGGATGAGCCGCATGATCGGCAGGGAAATTTTATTTAAAATGAATTATTTTAAATTATTTAGCACCTCCTGCACCTTTGTGCAGTCCACACTGCAGGAGAAACTCCCTGCTGCGGCTGATCAGCTGATCTCCGTGCAGAGCAGAGAAGTGGGCGTGGCCAAGAGCGCTTGCAGGTGGCTGAGAGCAGCGGAGGCAGGGAGCTGAAATCATGACATTCTGTGCCCTTTTAGAATGTTTAGAGTTTAGAAACATTGCTTAGAATATTGCAAGAGTGTGGGAAGGGTTTAAAATGCCTTACTATATATTTAAACATATATAAATACTAAAATAAACTACTACTTACTACTTGTACTACTTTGCAGTTTTCCCACTTATCGCAGGGCTTCAGGGTACAGATCCCCGCGATAAACGAGGGACTACTTTGCAAAATAAAACCTGATTTTATTTACACTGAAACATCATGAATATATAAAATGTTGAAACTAGGAAATATATTTTGTAAAAGGTACGTAAATTTGATATTTTATGGCAGCAACATATCCCAGAAGAGTTGGGACGATGCAAAAAAGGCTCTAAAGAGAAGTGATTTGATTGATAAACATTTTGCATCTAATTACATGAGTGGGCAGCAGGTACGTAAGAGGACTGGATATAAAAATATATTTTAGAGAGGCTGAATCTCTCAGACGTAAAGATGGGCCGAGGCTGACCAGTCTGGAAAAAAATAAACAGTCTAAATATTGGTGACAAATTTATGATTAATGTTCCTGAATGGAAAAATGTGAAGACACTGAATCTCCCATCATCTACAGTTCATAATGTCATGAATCATGAATCTACAGATCTGAAGCATCTACAACTCTGAGCTCAAAGGACGAGGACTGAGAGTCAACATGGGATGGTCGTGATGTTCGGGCCCTCAGGGGCCACTGCATTAAAACCAGGCCTGGTTCTGTTCTGGACTCAGGAACTCTTCCACTGATCATTGTCTATGAAGACAGTTCATCCACAAATGCTGCTTAAAGCTCTATCAGACAAAGAAGAAGCCAGATGTGAACACCATCCAGAACCAGTCCAGTCCAGTCTCCTCTGGACCAGAGCTCATTTAAAATGTACTGAGGTGAAGAAGAGAACTGTTCTGAGGTCAGATGGATCCATAATTAAAATTCATTCTGGAAACCACACCACATCCTCTAAACTAAAGAAAGGAGGGCACAGTTCAAAGAGTCTGCCTCTCTGATAGTATAGGGGTGCATTAGCGCCTCTGGCATGGACAGCTTACGCTTCTGCCAATGAAATGCGTAGATACAGGTTTTAGAACAACATATGCCGACATTCTGTAGAAAATAAATACATTCAGCAAAGACCCAGGAACAACTAGAATCCTCCATTACATCAAAATGAGACTTTCCCACCAAAACCTCCAACAACTGGGCTCCTCAGGTCCTCCAAAACCTTCAACATCTGGTCTCCTCAAGTCCTCCAAAACCTTCAACATCTGGTGTCCTCAAGTCTGCCAAAACCTTCAACATCTGGTCTCCTCAAGTCCTCCAAAACCTTCAACATCTGGTGTCCTCAAGTCTGCCAAAACCTTCAACATCTGGTCTCAAGTCCTCCAAAACCTTCAATATCTGGTCTCCTTTGGTCCTCCAAAACCTCCATCAACTGGTCTCATCAGGTCCTCCAAAACCTTCAATATCTGGTCTCATCAGGTCCTCCAAAACCTCCAACATCTGGTCTCATCAGGTCCTCCAAAACCTTCAATATCTGGTCTCATCAGGTCCTCCAAAACCTCCAACAACTGGTCTCCTCAGGTCCTCCAAAACCTCCAACATCTGGTCTCCTCAGGTCCTCCAAAACCTCCAACATCTGGTCTCCTCAGGTCCTGGAAGTTGATGTTAGAAGTAGTGGAGATGCATCACAGAGGAAACATGGACCAGAACTGACTGAGACATTTTTCTGCCATAAAATATTATAATTTATTTCAAGTTTCATTATTTGATGTTTATTATGTTCTATGGTGAATAAAATTCAAGAGTTTATGAGATTTACAAATGATTGGATTTTTATTTTTATTTCACAGCATCCTGACTTTTTGTGAATTGAGGTTGTACAGAGCCTGCCATGTTTAAAAATCAAAAAAGTATTTTTCCTTACGTTGCCCTTATACTTCGATGCACTTTGACTTTGTTCTAATCTGATCTAATCTTGTTTTCAGAAGAAGAAAGACTTTAAATAAAAAACTGACGACGGCTGCTGGGACCAGCCTGAGATACTGGATGGTTGTTGAACCTCCAGATTTAAACAACTGGAGAAATGTAAAAAAAAAAAAAGTTTTTTAAGCTGTTATTTTCCCACAAACTACAGATATACATCAAAATAAAACAATGAAATGACAGATGACGATGAAAACAACAGACAAAGAAGGAAAAGGGAAAAAGAAACATAAAAAGCAGCTGAGAATAACAAGCTGATTGACAAGATCAGGAAACGGTTTAATCTGGAGCATCAACAGATTTAATGGGATTAAAGCAGAAAAAAATCTCCGGCATCATTAGGACTTACTTCTGTCCCAGGGTAGGTCCGTCTCCAGGTTTTACAAACAGATACTTCAGCCGCTGTCACTCACATCCTTTTCCTGCTAATCCATGCTTTGTTTTGTCAGAAATAAAAATAACTTTGTTGTTTTTTTTTATCTCGGGAGTTAATCTCGTGGAGTCGTTAGCTGCAGATCGACAGGATGTGGCTTCTTCACTTCCTCTCTGAGGTTGAGAAACCACCGCGGCTGAACGGGGTCAAAGGAAGGTGACGAGACTGAGAAGATGCTGAAGAACAGTCTGACCCTCACTCTCCTGCTGGTCTTTACTGGTGGGCAGTTTGGAAAATACTCCACTATTTGCAGACGACTTGTGCTTTATTATCGCAGGCTTTGTTTGCAGCTAAAAGATGTTTGCATGGGTCCGTATATAAAAAAGGCAAATGTTCTCACTTGAAACTCTTGAAATTGGAGGAAGTGGCGATGAAACGGAGTTGTTTTTGATTTTTTAAGAGAAATGTCCAACATTTTTCATGAATTTTGTTGTTTTATTAACACACCTGTGCTGCCTGCCTGTATAGTCGACATATAAAGCAGCTGTGGTTAACCACAGTGAATATGATGGTTATGAGACTCACCACGGTGCAGCAGAGAGGCCAGAACCACCACATGAGGGCCAAAGCCACAAGAGCCAGAAGCACCAGGATAACTATCACCAACCCATCAGACTACAAGAGAACATAACCAGAACAACTTATCAAACATGTTCACTGGTGTTTTACATCCAAAAACACAGAAAATAATTAACTATTGGTTAAAGTGTGAACATATTCTTTCATTCATTCAACCTTTATTTATTCAGATTAGTCTCATTGAGCCTCCAGGACTCATTTACAAGATGTGATGAAGAGAAACAGGAACATTTATAATCCACCATCAAACACTGAAGGTCACTCATTTAGGAGGAAGATCCAAGAGAAAAACATTTCTTTATTCATTTCATGCCTTAACAATTTATTTATTTATTTATTATCAGAAAACAAGTTTTAAGATTACAAAAACAACTGCAGAGATAAATACAGCCATTAATGACCAATGCAGACATGTTCCTGTTTTTAGTTTTCTACATTCACCTTAGAATCTAGCTGTTTTTTTTTTTGTTTGTTACCTTTTCCTTTTAGCCATCCTATTTGTAAAAAAAAAAAAAAACCCTGCAGTATGACTTTTTATAATTGTTTATTGTTGTTGCTGTTGTCCATTGTTGTCATCACTCTTTGTTGAAATCAGGTCTCTCTTGTAAATGAGTCCTCGAGGCTCAATGGGATTACCTGAATAAATAAAGGTTGATTAAGACACAACGAAGTGTTTCTGAAAGAAAATCACAGGAGAAACAAAGAGATGAAGAGGAAGTTATCGTAACAAGAATACTGTGAATTTCATGGATTCAAACCGAGGCACAGGTTTGAACCCCCCCCCACCAACAAAGGAGCTCCTCAATACAAATGAATTGTATAATAATTACTTAGCTTGATGTGTGTTGTTTGATTCTGTGTGTTTCCAACTATTTGGACAATTTGATCTGGAATCTAAATTTTTATTTCTTCGTTTTGTTTTGTGTTTTTACTAATTTGCATTTATTCCTCCGTAGTTTGATCCCACCGCCTGTCGGCAGAGATCCGAACCGCAGGCAGCTTCAGGAGCAAGGGCGTCAGAAGCATCCGTAATGTGGGGGGGGGGGGACACAATGATGTGTGTAGGTGTGTGTGCGCGCGTGAAAAAAGGTGTTCACTAGTGAACAAAAAAGCAACATGTCACCTAGATTTCCTTTAATTCCACACATTTAAAACATGTTTCTCACCAAGTTTGTGTAAATTCAGCTGTGGGTTTAAAGTAATTTTAACTTTAATACATTTTAATACAGAGCGTCAGGTCGGCACTATTTGTGTTTATAGAGAAATAAAAACCATCACTACAAGTCTTTTTTACTTGTGTTCAACACGACTCATCTAAATGATGTTTCTCATGAAGCTTGAGGACAATAAGGTGTGGGGGTTTAAAGACATTTCAACTTTAATGCACCTGAACACACAGAGTCTCTTACACCTGCAGTGTCTTACAGCATCACAGTTACTGCTAAGCTAACATGCTACAGACGTAGCGCTCCACTTCTCTCCTCCTAACATGAATATATGTTTATGATCAACCCCCTGGTCCACAACTGCCCGCACAAACTCTCTAAACTGGCGAGCGAGCAACACAGAGGTGTCTCCATCTCCTCCACCTGTGCGCATTTTCTGCCAAGGCAGGGGGAGACGCACAGAAACACTGCAGGTGTTACACCATATTCTGTGACCACCGTATATTGTGACCGTGGCAACAGGTCGCTGTGTTTAGAGTTGGAGGTAACCAGGAAAACCTGGAGTGGAGTTTTAGTGGCCTGAGTATTCTCCTATTAATCAAGTGGAATGGATTTGTTCATAAAGAAAGAGAAACTGCGCAGACTGAACTAATGTTTTATAGTAAAAGTGGGGGGTCCAAATGAACGTTTTTTTAATGTGGGGGGTACTTGTCCCATTCACATATAATGGTTGCAATGCCTATGTTCAGGAGTCTCATTGGGTCAGCAACCGTCTGCTGGTTGCATCTCTCTCATACAGACACTCACGGGTGTCACATCAATTATATGTGAAGAGGACGTGACCACCCCCCCACAAACATTTTAAAAATGTTAATTTAGATCCCCCCCCCCACATTTATCATGAAATATTAGTTCACCCAGCGCAGTTATTTCTTCATGAACAAATCCGTTCCACTTGATTAATAGGAGAATACTCAAACCACTAAAAGTCCACTCCGGGTTTTCCTGGTTACCTACCACAACCCACCACATGCCGCGTTTCCTCAAGGTCACTTGGCTTGGTAGGACACTCATCTCTGAGGGTTTTTTTTTTTTGTCGACGGGGCGGGGGAAACAGCTCTTTGTTGCATACTAGCTTAGCGCTACATTAGTGTCGGCGGTTGTCGGCAGTTTAGGATGTGTGAAAGAAGCGGAGCGTGCTCTGCTCACACAAGGAGAGCTGTTGGTCAAACTTCTTGCTGTGCCGTGCTCTTTAAAATAGCTATTGAATCAAGGGTTTACATATGTAGGTAAACATAAATGTTTAACAACACGTTAAAATACACCAGAATGCAGGAAATGGCATCTACTTTGTTCAAAAATTTTAAACCCCCATACCCCCCACCACCACCACCAGTGTGTCCCCCCACATTACAAATGCTTCTGACGCCAGTTCAGCCGCTACCAACACCAGTGTTTCCCCTAACATTATACAAGCAGGGCACCCCGCCTACCAAACCCACCTGTCGAAAAACTGCCAGCACTGACATAGCACTAAGCTAACAGGCACTAAGCTAACAGGCACTAAGCTAACAGGCACTAAGCTAACAGGGCACAATACAGACGTGCTAGCTAAAATGCTACAGAGGTAGTCAGTGGCAGCGCTCCGTTCACTCACACTGAGCCAACCCCACCACCCCACCCCACCCTCCCCTAATCAACAAAATGAGGAAGAGCACCCCGACAAAGCAGGTAAGCTAAGTCAACTACGACACAAACGTGAGCACCAACAAATCATAAAGATATTGGTTTATAGCTGTGGCATGCAAGGGGCTGTGCAAATTAAAAGCATTCGTTAAGAAACATTTGTTTTTTCAGGTGTTTTAATTGTTTTAGAAGAAATAAAAGTGATTTAATTCAGACTTACACATGTGGACGCAGTGATGGTGTGGGCACCTGAGATAAATGTCTTGCCATTGTTGAGGCTGATAAGGACATCCATCGTTCTGAAAAATACATTTAAAAAAGGCACAATGGCGGTTATTTATACGTAGCAAAATACCAAAGCACAATTTAGAGCATTTGCACAACACAAACACAAAAAACGTTAAACAGAATTTAAACTCAACTACTTCGAAGTCGATTAACAAAAACTAATTGTGTTGAATCTTAACACTAACTCCGTCCACGCAACTCCACAGCTCAGTAACTTCATATATTTAAGCCATATATTCAAATATCTTCCGATATCGATGTGATTATAATAATAAAAAATAAATAAATAAATAAGAAGTGAGACTAGAACAAAGAGAAATTGAAAACAACAGCACAAAAACAAATGGTCAAACTGGAAGGGAGGAAATGTTCTCATTATTCCAGCCATCAGTGTGTGTGTGTGTGTGTGTGTGTGTGCGTGTGTGTGTGTGTGTGTGTGTGTGTGTGTGTATGAAACTTGACTCGCAGTAACAAGGCTCGTGAACTCCTACGACTTATTTAGAGGCAGAAATGGAGAGGCCAAAGCGGGTGCAATTAAAACCCTAATGATGAACGGCACCGCAATTTCCATATGTCTATTATGCCCAATCCAATTACGACAGGTTTAATGAGGACTCGGGACGTGGAGCGGGCGAAACGCTTCAAATCCTCCCTTCGACATAAAAAAGGAAAGCAGAGAAGGACGCCTGCAGAGTGGTATTGTGTGCGAGGGGCCAGCTGTGAGTGCACGGCGGTGTACTGGGGAGGCCTGCTTTAAAACCCATGCTGCAGAATAATAACAAGAGCGCTTCCTTTGCTGTGGATTGTGCCTGCGGCAGTGCCTTGGGCCAACGATTCTCCTGTGGTTCTGAACAGATGAGCAACTAGACCATGTGTCCATTACTGTGCAGTAAATTCTAAACATCCTGAACTGACTTCTTTGCACCTCACCTTGTTTGCCTCGATAAATATTTAAGACGGATCAAAGAACTTTGGTACAGGATGCTCTTTGACACTTCACCCAACTTGTTGATGTTCCACTTTACTTTTCTCTCACAAAACTGAACAAATCGAATATTTCATGCGTTTCCACTGGCAACGTTGGTTTTTATTTTAATTTTTTTTAACAAAACAGCTTTACAAAACAATGCATCTGCAGCACTAACAGCAAAACTGATGTCCAAAAGTAAATTCAGCTTTCACACTTTATATTTTCCACAATTTCTGCAATCTAACTTCTGCAGACCTTGTGCTATTTTAGCCTTTATTAAAGCAATGCTTAGTTTGTTCAGCAGATGAGTGTTATGATTGTTGGTTTTAATAACATTTCTTTAAAACATTTTCATTAACAAACATTATCCCCATAGAAAGACATTAAAATTTCCAAATCCTTTATTTTTTCTTTGATTCAGCATACGTGCTTTATTTTTTTCTTCTAATGCTACTTTTGGCTTTAAGCTAGCCATTTGTTACTGTTAGCTCATGTCCTGCTACTTTTAGATTTTAGCCACCTTTCTTTATTTTTTTACTTTTAACTAGCCTTTGGCTCTTTTGAACCAGCATTTAATATTTTCTTCTGGTACATTTAGCTTTAAGCTAGCCATTAAATTTAGCTCAATTTCTGCTATTTATAGTAAGCCAGCCATTTGCTACTTCTAGCCAGCCTTTTGCTACTTTACACCAG